ATCAAGCATTATTTTTAGAATTGGAAAATTTTGTGTTATTTAGCGGTGTTTGTTAAAAAAAATGCCTCAATATACCATACATTTAGCGGCGTTTGTATACTATAAACGTTGTGATATACCGAACTTTAGCGGCGTTTGTATGAAAAAGGCCGCTAAAGCTCAACACCTATTGCGGCGTTTTCAATAAAAACGCCGCTAATTCTCAACCATTATTGCGTCATTTTTTATACAAACATCGCTTAATCTGAAAACCTATTGCGACGTTTGTGGGAGAAACGCCGCTAAACATCATCACCTATTGCGGCATTTGTTGAAAAAATGCCGCAAAATATCAACACCTTCTGCGGCGTTTGTAAGTTAAACGCCGCTAAATATTAACACCTACTGCGGCATTTGTAGGGAAAACGCCGCTAAACATCAAAACCTATTACGGCATTTTTGTGACAAACGCCGCTAAATAACAACACCTATTGCGGCGTTTGTTCAACAAATGCCGCTATATCTTGTTACCTATTGCGGCGTTTTTTGTTTAAAAATGCCGCTAACTTTAGCGGCGCTTTTTGCGGCGCTTTGACAAACGCCGCATGTGTTTTTAGAAGCAATTAAAAAATGCCGTTATATGTAAAACAAATGCCGCAAAATACCTATTTTGTTGTAGTGATGATGCCTTTAGTTCGGTGGTCAAATCTTCCACAATTAATTTCGTTCTCACAGTAGCATCACATAATAAATAGGCTTTAAGATAAATTGATAAGAATAATGTGTTTTTAATAGAGACTTACATGAGGATGTTTACATGCAACAATCTCAAGATTAAAAAAGAGCAGATGATGGTTCTATGTTAGTTTGTAATCTGCAAAAAGTTTTTGATAAACATAAATAAAATTAGCTGACCCTATTTCCATATGTAATGGGCTAAGGGGAGGTAGGGTAATAGGCTGCCCCCAACGCCAGGTTTAGAGCAACTTCCATGGAAGACCTCTGTTATGAATTTCCCTCAGTGGGACTCGATCCCACGACCACAATGATTTATATATATATATATATATATATATATTAAAATTAATTTGAAGTCCTTAAAATTTGTCCAACCTTCAAAACAATTCTTTTAGGTTCAAATTATGTTTAAAATAGCATTTAAACATTTCAGAAAAAATTTCATAGTCATATCTTTCTCAAAATGTCAAAAATTATCTTTTAAAACAACCTTTGACCAGAAGTTTTGAAACTTCTATAAGAGTTTTGAAACTTTCCAAAACAGTGGACTCTGTGAAGTTTCGAAACTTTTACAAGAATTTTGAAACTTCTCTTGTAGTTTCAATATTTTGGGTTCCAACAGTCAAATTTTTTAATTCCTCTTTCGAAGAGTTTTTAACTTTCCCCGTAGTTTCGAAACTCTATATGCAAGTAGCCTTTAACGGGTGAATTTAATGCTCAAACGGCTCCAAAGTCCCTTCAACAACCTCAAATGGTTAGAAATCAATGAGAGAACATAAAAGGGGTCTTCAAACAACCAAGAAACAACAAGAAAACCATTCCAACAATCAAAGAGCAATTAGAGCCAAATTTGTATTCATTTTGTGCCTTTCTTTCATAGAACATTATTCAATTCATTATATTTTTCATTCAAGTGTTATTGGGTCTGTGAGAGCTTCAATTTGCAAACATTATATCTTTGTGAGGATAATTAAAGTTTTCTCATTTGTAATTACTTCATGGGAAGGGTTGAACACTTAATACTTTGGGGGTATAAGCCTTAGTGGTGTCTAAGGTTACACCTTATCCTAAAAGGCTAGAGCAAATTAGTGAATTAGTTGAAATCCTTAGTTATGATGGTAAAGTAGTGGATGTAGACTTCATTAAGGAAGTTGAACGACTCTAGAATCCTTTTGTCTTTTTCTTACTTCTTGCTAAAGCTTCTAACAACTTTTTAAATTACCAATTCACCCCTTCTTGGTCATTTCCTTGATCAATTGACTCAACAGTTTTGTATGGACTAAGACAAGCACTAAGAAATTGGTACGTTAAATCAAAAGATTTTTTTTTTGCTAAGTGTAAGGTTTAAGAGCTCAAAAGAAGACACTTATTTGTTCATCAAGCATGGAGAAGGAAAAGCCATGCATGTTCTAATTTATGTGGATGACATTATTGTCACAGAAGGTTCAAGTGGCAGTATTGAGAATTTGATGAAGCTACTTAGCGAAAAGTTTTCGTTGAAGAACTTGTGAAAAATAGGTTTGTTTCTAGAAATAAAAACAAAACAAGTAGGCAATTCAATCTTTTTTAGTCAGAAAAAGTATGAGATGGAGCTTCTATTCAAAGCTCGCTTGAGTAATATTGCACCAACAACAACACCTATGATCTCGTCTCTCAAACTCACCAAAGATGTTGGTAGTGTGTTGGTTGATGTAAACGAATATCGAAATTTAGTGGGGTCATTGTTGTATGTTTGTCATACATAGCTTGATATTACAGACAGCGTGAATAAACTAGCTCAATTCATGCATGTCCCTTGTGAGCAACATCTTGTTATTGTGAAACGAGTTTTACGATATTTGATTGGAACTATAGATTTTGGTCTTATGTTCTCATCTGCAAAATCTCTTTAACTTGTTGCATTTGCTTATGCATATTAGAGAGTGGATGATAGGTGTTAATATTTAGAAATTGTGTGTATTTAGGGAGAAATCTTATAATGAGGAGCTACAAACTACGCTGATTGTCTAGAGGGACAACTCGAGTGCGATAGCTATGAGTGCTAACCCCATTTATCACTCCAAAACTAAACATATTAAACTAGACCATTTCGTTCATGAAAAAAATAGTTGCAAAAAAGTGAATTATGTACCGTCTAAGCATCAAATTACATATGGATTGACCAAAGCGTTAACTAAATATTACTTCAATATGTTTAGACAGAAGTTGGGTGTTCTTTCTTGAACAGAAGTTGAAGTGGAAGAAACAAAATACATGTTAGATATAATCTAGAAGTTTGGATAGTTGCTCAATTCTAGTATATTATGAGGCTACGTCAGCCTAGGGTTGTAAACTGAAGTTGTGTGAATTAGTTTTGTTATTGGCTGTGTATAAAGGCATATATTTGGTTATAGAAAATATAGGATATTTTTATTTTTATTTTCTTAGAAAACAGAAAATGTTAAAGAAAAATATAGTAAAATTAGAAAATGATTTTCAGAAAATGAAAATATAAAAAAATATATTTTTTGGTATTTTCATTAAAATTACTTTAGAATTTTGAAAAATAGGAAAACATAGTATGTAAATTTTTAACTTAACTTGTATGGCTTCAAATACTTTTAACAATAATTTTTGACTTAATGGTATTTTAAACCTCAAACTTTTGCAAAATATCAATATGGTCCCTAAAATTTGTTACACTCAATTTTATCCTTAAACTAAGTTTTTTTAATAATTTAAGTCTTTTGTATTTTTATACTTAATGTATTAAATATCTTAATACTTTTTTATATTTTATATTTTATATTTAAATAATTTTTTAATGTTTCTAAAAATTTAAATAAGTACCTAAACTTTCTAAAATAATCAATTAGGCACTTGAACTTAGCCAAAAAAATCAATGAAGCCCATCTACCACATCATCATCCATCATGTACTACCACAACAACATCGTGAATTATCACATCAATATTGTATATTAACATGTAAGCTTTGTGAACTATCGTATAAGTATCGTGACAGTCAACGTTTAGTTCTGTTAGTCAAAGGGTTAGGTTAATATTTTTTCTCAATTTAAGGGTCACATTGAGTGTAAAAAAATTTGAAGGGTCACTAGTTATTTTTTTCAAAACTTTCAGGCCCTAAATACCACTAAACATATTTTTTTTTATTTTAACAATACTTTTCTGTGCTCTTGTTTACAATAGTATTTTTAGTATATTTTTTAATTTAATTGATGTCCAATATACATTAACATTTTATTCTTATTATAAACTAAAATTATTTTTTATAAAATTTCTTATCAACTTTATTTTTTTATATTTGCATAACTCAAATATTAAATTTATGTAATGATTTTTTTAATGATTATATTTTAATATAATTATTTAATAACTATTTATTCATATCTATTTTAAAAAATAGATACCAAATATATTTTAACTATTTTTATCTCTGGAATCAAGTTTTCATTTATATTAACCAAACATGTTTTCTATTTTCCAAAAACTTAAAATGAAAAATATTTTCTAAAAATAAAAGCAGAAAATATTTTCTAGAACTAAACGAACCTTAAGGTTCTTATATGAAGGGTAACTATAGAGGAAGGAAGACAGTGTTGCTAATGGATCTAAAATCCATGATCTAAAATAATATGATAGAATAAAGATGAACAATTTGACTAATCAATCAAATGTTTTTGCTCAACACTTCGCTAAGTTAAGAATTTGGTATATTCTTTAAAAAAATATTTGAGAATGATCTTTAACCTTTATAACATAAGTTGTAAAATAGTATAAAAATATATTTCTTTTATGAATGAAATAAAAAAATCCCTTAATTATAATGACTCTAATGAAAACATTTTAATTTAAATGATCAAAATAAAAATGTCTAAAAAATACAACGAATGTTACGACGATTTGTCTAAAAAACAAATCTCTATTTTCTTTTGATAACGATGAAATTTTTATTTAAATCAATTCAGATCAGGTAATGTAGAGACAATGGTAACTCTCTTAACTAATTTATTACATTCGTAATCGTAAAAATTTAAACCTATAATATTACTTAAGGGATCTGATGTATCATTCCACTATACCAACGGATTAGTAATTAAATTATCAATAAACTTTTACACTATCAATTCAATAAGTTGGCATTATAATATTAGATAAATATAGCAAATAGTGTTTTTCCTAGTCATGTGACAGTATCTTAGCCAACAACTTTTAACATATTTTGATACAAAAGCACAAAAAATTAGATAAAACGTCTTATACACAAATAATTAAAAGAGAAAAAAGAAACCCAGTTATGTACTCAAATATCATCCCTCATTCACACAAAATGCAAAGAGTGAAGTTCCAGAAGAAAAAGTTGGGAAAAAAGCTCCACTATTAACTTTATATCCATTACCAACATAAACGCATCCATTGTTCACTGACATTCCACCATACACAGTTGCTCCTGTCTCATATGACCACAATATTCTCCCATTTTCAGCATCAATGGCATATATAGGCCCTTGTTTATATGTTGAACCGGCAAAAACTACACCATTAGCGACGGTGACAGGCCCACTAGTGGTGGAATTGCTCGGATCCGCCGTCGACCATAAGATCTCGCCGCTTTTAGCATCCATTGCCACCCATCCACCCGCAGTCGTATTTATTTCCGATGGTTTCAAAGTAAAATTCTTGAATGCTGAGTTGGCTATGTTGGTGTAGACCCTCTTCATATCCGTGGCTGCGCCCCATGTGCCTCCTCCGCCGGCTCCACCGGGTCCGGCCTCCTATACATCAATGAAATATGTAAATATTTAAAAGTGAAGCATTAGAAGGAAAACTATATATGGATAATAAATGGTACAATGAAGCCAACTTACAGTAGACCAAATAAGTTCACCATTGTCTCTATTTAGAGCCCAAGCGAAACCACTTTTCTGGACAGCAACAACAATATCTCGCTTAGTTCCATTGACTTTGATGCTTAGCATCATCGGTGCCTCGGCAAAATCGGCATCGGGATTCGGACCTGGAGGACAGTTTGGTGTCGAAAGATTATTGCAGGCAAAGAACCAAAGGTCATATCCCCCTAGCTGATGATACCATTTGATAGCACCTGTCTCCAAATCAAAAGCTAGGATTGAATTTGAGTGGTTCTCAGGCTCAATACACTTGTCTGGACTAGTTGGCACTGTTTGATTGTTCTCAGCTTCTTGGCATTGGAGTATACGAAGAGGAGCCGAATACAGGTTCCCGGTGCCGACATAGACATGGTTTCGAGTGGCATCAATTGATGGACTGCTTCCCCAGATGCTTCCTCCGGCATACTCGGCTTTCTGTCCGAAGTTATCTGGTAGAGTGAAGGTTTGCCATAGGACTTCGCCGGTCCGGACGTCTAATTTGGAGAAGCTGCCGCGGAATGTGCAGCATTGCTCGATGCTTAGACTTTCTTCTTGGGAAGATGTGCCCACGTAAAAATGCCTACAAGTTTCAAAACTAAATGCTATGTTAAAAATATAAGGTAACATATTAAGATTTTACATATGCACGCTGTACATGATCATCTATGCAAGATTGATGGTGCTTAATATTTGAGAAGGTTTAGTGTAAATTAGTGAACCCAAACAATGAGCTCCGACAAAGAAATTCAAGCCATAAATTCAACCCTAAACTTTAACATTAATCTAAAATTAGATGATGTTTGAAATTTTTGTTTGTATCTATCTTTTGTTTAAGTTTTTTAATTAGATTTTTAAATTTTTTTCTTATATGATTCTTATATGATATTAAGTGATTAATTTATTGTATCGATGGTCATAGAAAATTATTCTAATTATATGTTTAATTTATAATTATGTTTCTAAAATTTCATTATAATTCTTGATATATATTTACTCTTTTTAAATAGTATTGAGTGATTATAAGATAATATATGTTTAGAACTTTCTTAACCTATTCTCTATTGACAACCAAACATTCTACAATCGCAACTTTTCAAAATCAACACTTCTAGCGACAATAACAATCTATTTAACCATTAAGAACACTTAATGGATTCGGTATTTATTTATTTTTAATAAAACTAGCTAATTCTATAAAAAGAATAGATAGTTATGATATTTAATACAATTAATAAAAGTTATAATATTCCTCTCGTTGACTTTTAATCATTATATGCCTTAATATAACTAATCTCTACAGTCTGCATCAGAGTGGCCTTATCTAATCGATGGATTAATCAACTTTGCTCTAAAGCTTCAAACAGGATATTTCTGACAAAGCTGAATTCTTGGCATCAAATTGCAGCAAAGTCGGAAATGACGGTCCGTATAAGCAGTTTTTTAATTGATTCTAGCTCTCAAAACTTAAAAATCAGATTCATTAGTCTTATATGATGCTGTCGATCAGGTCATCTAAATTATACCTCAAAATCTATATTAAGATATGCATCAAATTTTAACAAATGTTATCGAGCTTTGTAGTGAATTGACTAACCGTTTGTAGTAAGTTCCAGACATGGTGATAACAGCAGTGGCATGGTTATCAAGCTGGGTTGACCAAACAAGCTTACCAGTTAATCTTTCAACTGCAATAACAATGGCAGGTCCAAATATTCCAACGATCAACAAATCGTCGGCAATCGTCGGCGATGCTCTCGAAACTGTCCAGTTTACATTAGCAACAAAACCAGTGGCATTAAGCCCGGTTAGGTCCCCCAAGTTTTTCTCCCACACAAGGGATCCCTCAGAGGCATTAACAGCATAGATGTTCCCATTCCAGCTCGGGAAATAAAGGGTTCCATCGAAAATCACCGGCGTCGCTGTTATGTCTTTTCCGGCGACGAATTCCCATTTCTTCCGCAGACGGGAAACTGTTTCGGGTCCGATTTTGCTCTCTTTCTCCGCATATCTTCGGTTGTGTAAGTCCCCGCCATGGTTCACCCAGTTTTGTGAAGACTGCAAGCAACAAATCATCCACAAATGCTAATATATAGTATCATTTTCCCCATATATAAAACTTAAAAACTTTGGGATGAAACAACTTACTGCAAATCCTGCCAAGGTTCTGTTGAAAAACGGGAAAATTAATAGGAAAATAAAAATAAAATTGTTTCGGGATATGGAAGTCGCCATTGAACTTGAAAGTTGATGGGTCACCGGTACGAATTTATATCAAATGACATTACCAATTCCAGACGGAACATAATTGTAAACAACTCAGTTGTCTTAATCGTTATTGGTTTGAGTTTGACTTTGTGTTTTGCTTCACCGTCAATCATTCATTTGTCTTAATTGTAAACAACTTGTAAGCAACGTGCAGTACTCAAAATTAGAAATAATCCGGAATTATAAAGTCAATGACTTATTTCATTATTAAAAAATAATATTCTTGTAAATATATTATTTAACAGTAATAGAAAAAGTCAAAGTTGATTTATAATCAGGCATTCACATGTGTGTGGAATGAGAAATTATTCTTTTTGTCACCTCATCCATGATCCTTAAATAATTACATAAGTACAAATCACATTTATTTTCTATATTATATTTTTTTTATAAATTAAAATTTTTAAATCATCATCTTCTTTATCTCATTCTCTCCTTCAATCTTAAAGCATCAAATCTTCATGTTTTGCTCTATTCTTTCTTTAATCTACTATTACAATCTAAATTAAAAACCACTACTTATTCTTTTTCTCATCTTTTTCTTCCCCAATCTTAAGGATTAAATCTCCATATTTTGCTATGTTCTTTCTTTGGTTCACTATTGTAATCAATATTTAAAATCAATACCAAAAAAATGAAATTTGTTTCAAATTTATTATTATTTTTTTTATATTTTTTGTTTTTTTATCTTAACCAACAAAATATCATTAGAAAAGATTATGAGAATTTCTATATTGATGTATGGTATATGAGAATTTCCTTCTATATAGCACAATTGAAAATTCTCATGCCAAACAAAGAAGTGATGCTTAAGGATCAAGATATAAAAGCACCTTTAAAACCCAAGCACAATACGCAACTTTTACTCAAACATACTGATGAAGTCTTTTATATATAAACAAGTCTTTGACTGTGCCAAGAACTGAAAAAATGAGGTTTTGTCCATAAGCACCAAATTTGATAATAAATTTCAAAGAAATTTAAATTTTTGTATTGATTTTAAGTCTTGATTATAATGGTGAACCGAAAAAAGAACATACCAAAATATGGAGATTTTATGCTTAAGATTTGAAAAGAAAAGGATGGGATAAAGAAGAGATTATAATGGTGGATTAAAGAAAAAGTAAAGCAAAACATGAAGATTTGATGTTTTAAGATTGGGAAAGCAGGGAATGGGATAAAGAAGATGATGATGATTTGAAAGTTTTAATTTATAAGAAAATATGATTGGAAAATAGAAGTGATGTGTACTCATTTAATTGGTTAGGACCATGGATGATGTGGTGAAAAGGATTTATGTAATAATTTCTCATGTGGAATGAAGATCTAAACCTTCCTATTACCAACTTGTTATTCCATATTTCCATTTTTGTTAAAATTAATTATATAATCAATCCAAAAAATTAATTATATAAAAATATTCAGGTCAATCTTTTTTTTTTTTGTTTACAAATATAGGAACTACATTAGCAGCAAGTGAGTCTTATTCTCCATAGGTCCATGTCCAATTGGAGAAGAACCTATGGAGAAGATGTTGAATTTCAGTAGGCGGGAAGCTCAAAACGTAAAGCATAGTAGACTCTCAATGGCCAAATCGGGCAAACGCATCGGTAACACGATTAGCCTCGCGGATGATGTGAGTAATTCTAATGTTCCACTGTCGATGGAGGAGACCTCGGATTCTGCGGATAAGGGTCGGTTCAAAGGTTGTCGCTGGAGAGGAAATGATCTTGACACCTTCATGGCAATCTATTTCAACTTTCACTCGTCTATAGCCTCTGTTCTAAGCGATATTCAAACCGTCTAGATGAACCCAAAGCTCAGCATGAAGAACTGAGCATCGACCGATGCTACGGGAATAGCCAGATAAGCAAACATTTAGGATCTCGAATTATACCACCATCTACTACCTCCATCATGGACTGGTTGACAGCACCGTTCGTGTTGAGCTTGACAGTACCTACATTGGGAGGTCTTCATGGTTGTTCCTGAGGCATATGGCATGTCCTTGTAGAAGGGGATATGGTTCTTGCTCGGGTGGATCGAGCCCAAGCACGTGAAAACTGGATGATGGTTAAGGTAGACCAAACCTCACCCTTGAAGATAAAGTTGCATCGTTTATTTTAAAATCTCCAAATCAAAAATCCAAAGAGAAGTCTCCAGCAGTAGGCGTTCTCCACCATACTTATAGAGCTATTGAGATTAGACTCTAACCAATCAAAAGGATTAAGAGAAAAGAAACTCACTGTTAAGTGCGGTGACGTGATATGAGACCAGACCATATGAGCAGTAGTGCAGTCCTAAAGGATATGGATGACTGATTCTTGGCTAGCTTCACAGATCATACATCCAGGATCCAACGTAAGGCCACATCTAGTCCTTTCTATGTTGGTCATGAGTCAAATTCGAAGCGTTAATCAAATGAAGTTTCTAACTCGTTGAGGACCATTTAAATTCCACGCTAAGTTCCAACGTGGGTCCTCTATATCCCATTGTTCATTATTTAACACGTGATAAGCTGAGTTAACCGTACAAATCCCTTTAGGGTCCCATCGCCAAGTAGGGTGATCATGACCCGCTGGAGTGTAGGGAGGAGGGATAACTATGATTTCTTTGACCACATCGTCTTCGAAAAGGTTCCTTAATTTGGACAGGTCCCAAGTGCCAGAGTTATTGATAAGGTCATTGAGATGGTAGTCGGTGTTACAGTTTTGGTCATAGATCGTCCGATTCCCTAAAGGGGTTTTTACAGGGATCCATGCGTTAATCCAGAATTTTATAGTTTCTTCGTCATCGATCAACCAACAAACATTAGCTTTGACAAAATCTCAGACTTTGGTGAGGGATCTCCAAACAAAAGAGCAGTTCTTGGTATCGAGATGGCCAGGAAACAAGTTTGCAATTTTATACTTAGAGCGACAAATCTTAACCTAAAGAGCATCAGGTTTGGTTAGAAAGTTGAACCCCATTTTAACCAGAAAGGCTTTGTTTTGACCATGAAGTGACCCGTATCCCTAGATCACCATGGTTAGTTGGTTGGTAGCATGAATTCCAACTAACAAGGGCTGGTTTGATTGAAAACATTAGAACCACCCCAGATGAAACGACGTGCTATGGCTTCAGTTTTAGCAAAAACACCTTTCAGGATCGCCATAGTTTGCATGAAGCAATTAGGGATGGCTAAGAGGGTTGATTTAGCCAACGTCATGCGACCAACCAAAGAGAGCTTCGATGCCACCAAGTTGTTAAGCTTACTATGAACTTTATCCATGATGAATTGAAAGGTACTCTTAGTAACCCTATCGTGGAATAAAGGCATACCTAGATACTTCCCGAGGTTGGGGTACGTTGGAATCTAAAGGTGCAAATGTCAGTGGCCAAGGTATCTAGAACGTTAGAGGAGAATAAAACCAAGGTCTTATTAGCATTGACCTTATGACCAGAAAAGCGACTAAACTGGTCCAGATTAGCTCGAACAAGTTTAGCTTAACTAGTATACACCTTGCAAAGTAAAAGGAGATTATCCGCAAATAAAAGGTGGGAGAGGGAATGACCACCACGAGAAAGGGACATGAGTTCCCAGATACCCAAATTGAGAGGATAGTGGATGCTATGACCTAGACGCTCCATGCACGGTACGAACAAATATGGAGAGAGCGGACATCCTTGTCTAACATCCCTAGTAGGTTTGAATTCCTCCGAAAGAGAGTCGATACACAATTACTTTAAGGAGCAACTAAAGTTCTTATATCTATTTTTTATTCAATTTAAACTAAAAAAAGGGTAAACTACAAGTTTAGTACCTAAATTATTAATTTTACCCTATTTTGATACTTAAACTTCATTTGTTTCAAAATCATACCTAACATTACTTTTTGTTTCGTTTTGGTACCCGTAGTTAAAAACAGAGGAATTATTACAACATGACACTTTTTTATTGATAAATTACATCATTCATCACTCAACTATCTTCTCACTCCTATTTCGGTCACTAAAGTTTAAATTTTTTAATTTAATTACTTAACATTCAAATTACCCCTAATTTAATCACTCTAACTTTCAAATTTAATTTTTTTTATTTTCACTATATAATAATAAAATAAAAAATGTCATGTTATATAAATTGTTAATAAAATAAATTAGAGTGATCAAAATATGATCAATTTGAAAAATGAGTAGTTGAATTGAAAATTTTTAAACTTTAATGACCAAAATAGGAATGAGAAGATGGTTGAGTGATGAATGATGTAATTTACCAATAAAAAGTGCCACATACAATATCTCTATTAAATATTTTAACAGTGCGGTTCCAAGATGAAACATAAATTAAACATTATGTATGATTTTGAAACAAATGGAAGTTTAGGTACCAAAATGGAATAAAACTAATAGTTTATGTACTAAACATGTAGTTTACCCTCTAAAATATTCAAAGTGCCTCCAATAACTTGTAAATTTAATGTGGGATTTGACTTTTTTTTATAAGGCTTATTTATAAAATAAGTGCTCAAACTATATCTCTTTTTTTAATTAGGTGCCTAAACGTTTTTTAATTATTCAGATGTCTAGCGTTACAAACGTTACCATTTTAGGTGCTCGGGCCGTAATGACAGTTAAATTTCACTGTTAAGTGATATATGTCACGCTTTGGTAATTTTAATAAATTAATTTAAAATAAAAAATAAAATTATATATTTAAAAAAAAAACCCAAAATTTTCAATGAAAAAAAACTTTGAAAACTCTAAGTTTAATCCCTAAACCCACATCGACTGTCACCATTTGACGCCAATCAAACTTCCACCCTACGTCAAGCCAAGCCTGACCATAAATGTTGCATATTTGACGAAGGAAACGACAAAATCGCGGCCCAAAACCTCGTATCAAGGTACTTTAACATAAATAGATAAATCCATACAAAATATAAAGTACCAAAGTCATAAAAATCCAAATAACCAAATAAAAATAA